CAGAGGTCCCTTCCAACCTCTGCCATTCTGGGATTCTGTGATTCTGTGAAACGGTGGGGTAGGTGCCCTCCAAGGGGTGAAGGAGCTTTTGAATGTCTTGTATCTTTTGAATATATTGAGTGCCTTGAATAGAGCCTTCAATCATTTTTCCTTATTCTCACCAACTGCTTGATCTTCCTCAACTTTATGCCAAGGCCTGTTCTGATAAACATTTCCAGGGATAAAAAGAATTTCCAGTGCAAAGTGCATGTGTAAGATGGACAGGTAACTTTGCCTTGCTCACCTTCTTTTCCACATCCAAAGTCTTAGATTAAACCTTGAGCTATGCTGAGAAGGAGTTTGATAGCTCTTTGTTTGATAGCTACCTAAATACACCCGTCCGCACACAGGCACACTCCCAGAGCTGTTGTAGTTACACTGCTTCTGTAGGCGATGTTTCTCTCAGCTGGTTTGTTTAAGCAGGCACTAAACTGTGGCAAAGGCCCAAACATTAACAGGATCCATCAGTCATCAGAGCATTCCGAGATTTTTATCTACCACAGAGCATTCATCTGTCATTTACAACGGCAGTAACTTTAGCTTAGCTTTGCTACTGCAGAGCAGCTGAATGTAAGCCCAGCGAGCAGCCTCAGCCTCGGGGCAGCACGCAGCAGAAGATGGGGTCACTGGGATCCTATTAGGATCTAAACTAGTCTTATGCTTGTAACTTGGAGCATTATTTTTTTTTCAGGTTCATCTATTCAAAGTCAAAATGACTCGTTATTTTATAAAGAAAAGCTTAATTCACAGGCAGCAGATGGATTTGCAAAAATTTGACTGAGGGGCTGTGATTTGGGATGCACACGACTGTGCCCCGCTCAGACCTTCAGCAGGGGCTGTACTTAGGACCTTTCACACTGATGTCCTCTGCAACAGCAGTGAAGTAGCTTCATCAGCTACTCACAACGGTTTATTTATTCTCTTGCAGACTAGCCCCTAAATGAAGGTAGAGCTTTTACAACAATTCAGAAAACAAGAAAAATGAGGATGACTGATAGACTCCTCCATCATTATTTGGCTTAGCATCTTGTCACAAAAGCTGAAATTCCCAAAGTGGCCAATAACTTTGGTTGTATCGCCTTTATTTGTTTATTAGGTGGTGAGTGTTGCTGTCTGGTGTTTCTCTGCAGAGAAATACTGTAGCTTTTACCTCTGTTTATGCTCAGAGAGGACACAGGAGGACTCCTTTGCTCAGGCATGAAGCTGACTGGTACGGCTGTGACATTGGCCCAGGCTGGGATACCTTTGTTATTATTAGGTGCATTTGGAGTTAATCCTAGGGTACCTGTTAAATGACAGTCATAATTGGGTTTTTATTAGTGCTGACATGTTTAATAGCGTAATTTTTAAAGTAACATGGTAGATCAGAGCCCGATGTCGTTATACCAACGTAAAGCAGGCACAACACTGTTTACAATGGACAGATTTGTATAATGAAGTCAGGATGGATTTACTCCAGTGTCTCCACCAGAGAAACATGACTTACCAGGGCAGTTGAGCTAACCATAAGCTATTGGTGAGAAATGGAGCCTGACTTTTCAACTCTTATTCGTGTGAACAGGCCCCACTTTAGCAAAGCCCCCAACGCAAGGGCTTAAGTGTTTTGTCAAACAAAAAGCTGAGTTCTAAAAAATTAGCATGTGCTAAAAGCTTTGCTGACTTGGGTCCTGAGTTTGAGATGCCTGAGAAAAGGTAGGAGTCTTTCTGAATGTCCTAGGATGACCCACATGAATAAAAGTTGCAAATAAGTGCAAGCATTTAATATAACATACTTTACCGTGTCCCCTTCTGCTAGAGATCTCTGCCTTTGCCATGACAGAGGCAGAAGAAAGTAACATGTGTTGTCTCTCTCCCACTTAGTTCATAAAGCAAAGCAATATGAACTTAAATGATCCGTGAAACTTTTTTTGGTCTAATATGTGTTAGGCTGAAAACGGCAAGAGCTGAAGCAAGGCACATATTCCCATCTGCTTGCCCTGCTCTGAAGAGGAGTAAGGAGAAAAAGGAGCTGCGGGACAACAGCAGGACAGAAGATTGCACAGCTAGACCTTCTGAATGTCTGTCAGCATCTCCTGTCTTGAACACCTCATTCAGACCATAGGCTGTTTTCACCCAGGCAGTGTTACTTCTGTTAGCACAGTTATATGTGAGGTCAGTGCAGATAATACAGGAACTGAAAACTGGACAGGGACTTCCGAGTTTCCAGGTCATATTAATTTCACAGACTAGTGTGCATGAAGGAGCTCTCCCGTGCACAGTCCAGTTTTGCAGTAAGTCTGTCATGATAAAGGAACAGTCAGTCAATCCTTCAAAAAGTGAGTGATTTCAGTGGAAGACCCAGTCTCTGTCTATGAAGACAGACTGCGCAGGTCTGATGAAAATTGTGCGAGGACAGACAGAAAAATCTATTTCACGTTACCCATTGCCTATACTGCCTTGTGTATGCAAACTTTTTAGCATAGCCCGTGTTGCACAATCCTAAGCACAGATTACTTTGATATTATTTTACAAGCTTTGTCCTTTGCTAAGGTTCAAGAGTCATGGTTGCACTGGCCCTGAAATCCACAGGTATCTTGCCCCTGATTTCAGTGCTGTTAAGTTTTGACTATTCCATCAAACACAAAGACACAAGAACCTATATTAAAATCATTTAAATCCTCTGCATAAGGTAAATCAAGATAATTATAGTCTGAATTAGTCAGCTGCTGCCGTGTATAATGAATTCATTACACACGAATGCAATACATGCTATTTCTGTGCTGAACTGTTCGGTGGTTGTGAGTTGTAGTATGCAATATAAATAATAACTATTTGATTTTTTTGGGGGTCTCACCTGCAGACTTCAAAATTGAAAAGAAGAATAAATGAACCTAAAAATAGCAGTTGACATACATAAGAACACCATTTCATTGAGCCAGCATCAGGGCACGTGCATAGTTATCCAGCAGTATGAGAACTGAGTATGCAGTGCTTGGAGTTTCAGCAAAGTCACAATCACTTCTGGTGTGAAATGCCAGATGGATGATATTGTCTGTTGGTGTAATCTACGTTGCTTCTTTCCTTCACAACCAACGGTAAACTCTCTCACTTATTAAAAGGTTTTAAATCACCAGACTTAGTTATTCAAGGAGCTGATCTTTTACTTTCAGTGCCTCCATTGCATCGCACTGGCAGTGTTTTCCTGACAGAAACAGTTCTGCTTTTTCAAATCACTGACTGGTGAGGGCACAAAATAACTGCTGTGAAGCTTCATTGGAAGCACAAGGCTGTGCAGGGATGACTTCAGGTATGGTGGACACCCATGGATGCCAACAGCTATTGCTCTGACACTGACTCTACCATATAATGCCAGAACAAGCCAACCCTGCCTCATTTGGCTTGACCTAAGGTTGCTGTAGCAATGACCTTGGAACATGTGTTGAAGTAATGGACTTAAATCCCGAAGTTTAACTAATGAGGGACTCTGTTATGACAACTCAGATTCCATGTGGGCTCACAGCTGATTAATAACAATCTTAGGAATCTTTGAAGGCTTAAAAGTGGTGATAAATTACAGTTTAGTCAATTCTACAGCTGCAGTGCAAGGAACTAGACATATCTGTCCCAGTAAGAACATATTCAATCTGTGACATTGCAGGCTTATTGGAAACCCTGTCATTGCAACGTTGTCACATTCAGTCCTCACTGAAGCCAATGGCTCCAAAGAGCACTTGGGTAACAGGACGCTGGCAAACTGGCTGAAGATTCGGTCAGCTTTCACTGAAAATACAGACTTCCCTGTAAGTGCAAACACTTGGAGTGAACAATGAACACAGTTGTTCTTCCAACACGAGAAGAACAAAGCCAAAATGAGAGGTAGAGTAATAAATAGACTGAGATACTGACCTGGGCAGCAGCCCCTTCTGGGGTCTTTGGGCTGGTCTGCCAGCATTATCTCATCCTTTTCAGCATTCTCTATCAGCATGGCTGTGAAGGGGGTAACAATATGATGGTCAAGAGACATCTGTAGGATGGATTTGGTGATGTTCCTCTTCAAAGCTGCAGTGGGAGCTGTGTTTCTGGGTGGAAAATGAAACAGGAGACACGGTTAGCAGCCCCACAGGGCAGCTGCCATGACAATTCCTCCACAGAGTGGTCATAAAGCCAAACTGGTAGGTGCTGCAAGAAGAAAAGGCTGAAGCCCTGTGTGGATTCACTCTGCATAAGAAGACTATTTTTGGCATCTGTGGGCTTTGGCCTGGACCCAAAGAAGCCCGGTTCATCTCCTGGTCTCAGCAGGAGTTCTCTTTCTGCTTCAGAGGGAGTTCATCCTGAACCACTCCATAGCTTTTACTCAGGCCCCGTAAGGCCAATCTCCCATTCATTTAATTTACTCAGCCCCACATCCAGGTCTAGTTGACCTTTATTGCTCTAATTGACTGCTCCCAAACTCTATTCCCTGATATCTGTGAGTGCTAAAAATAGAAGGAATGTGGCTGAAGATATCATCTACTTTTGTTTTGATTGGTTTACCTTACCCATTTGAAACCCTGAGGGCAGCCTCATGTCTGTAGTCTCAAAGAGAACAAGATTGCTCTCAAGCTTCTCTTCCCTCCCATCACAGACCACGTTTTTCCTCACCTCTCTGCCAGCATCTGGTTGACAGTCAGATAGGCCCACAGTTTCCTAGTGAAGTCGGGATCTGCGTATCTGTCTTTCTTCATGAAGCCATCCAGTTCTTCAACATCTCGCAGGGTTTCCATGACGAGCTCTGCATTTGCCTACCCCGTCAGCAAAAGATAAAGGTAATGGAGGGTGACCCAGGAGAATGGGGTGGCTTTGCGTTCCCCTCTTAGCATGGTTTGCATTAAGGACCTGCTCTGGCTCTGCCCATGGTCGCTTCTAGATCAGAAGATCCCAGCACTGCTGGCCTGACTGCCGACAGAGCTGTACCAAGAGGGTCTTCTGTTAAAGACACTTTTGTGGCAGTGGATTAAAATAGGTAAAGAAGCTGTCAGCGAAAGCTGAAGAGGGTGCTACCACATGCCAAAAGAAGCAGCTCTTAACAGAGCTCTGCTGTCCACCCCTCAGGCTTTTTCACATCCAATTCCTTCCAAGGAACAGGAACCAAATTCTACTTTCCCCCATAGGCCCTTGGACGGCACTGTGTTTTGTCAGGAAAGAATATTGAACATGTTTGATTTTTTCCAGCAACTAACAAATGACAACTCCTAATCCCTGTAAGACTGTGGATATTTTGATTCCTCCTCAGAAAGAGGGATCTGGATGTAGTATTCCCACCCCATCCCACTCCACCTCGAAGAGCAGACTTGAAAATATGGGGAAAGTCTCATCACATGTGCCACAAGGCAGAACATAAAAGGACAGTGCTAGCACTTGACACACTGTAGACCCACCAGTTTGAGCTCACCAACAGTTGGAGGTTCAACCATAAAAGGAGCTACCTTAGGGGATCTCCACTGCCCCTTCACAAAGCGTGAAGGAGGGGACTCCGTGGTCTTCGTCTGGTTTACAATAGAATTTTGTATGGTACGTTTATTAGAAGGAAGTTCCTCTGGCAGGCTGGAGGATGCAGGTAGTGGCTATTCATGGCTGTACTTGAAGCTATTGTGAAACACTGCTGGATAACCTCCCCAAGAGTTTCCCCACACTCCCACACAGAACCCAAGTGGACAAAACGCTCTGCTAGCAATAACCTCCAGTAAGGGGACTGTACACACAAGTGAATGAACCAGCCCGAACCCCAGGAGCAGGTATCCTAGGGACACCTTCACTCACTGCTGTCGCTGTGACGATGCTTTCCAAGTGCTGCAAGTTTTCTGTGTCGACCTTCCCAGCCACTACTATCTCTGAGCCACCAAAGTAGTTGTGGAAGCTGCTCTGGGTGACGTCTGACACTGACTCCTGGGGGTAGTTGAACTGAATCTTCTTCAAGAGCGGGGTGGAGACCTGGTTATAGAAATTCTGAGATGGAAGGAGACAGAGAAGTGAGTCTGTTGTACCTGAAGCAACCCTCCCACATGTGCCACTCTTACTAAAAGGACAGCAGGTGACAAAATCTGGAGCCCTAGTGGGCAAGGGGGACTTTCCTTGTCCCCGAGAATGCAGACTTCTTTGTACTTGGACCTTAGTGCACTTGTAAGGGCTACAGCAAGAATATCTGGTCCAAGCCCTGTGGAAGTCAAAGAATGGTCAGAAGCCCACGGGCTGTGTTCTTCCTAGAGCTAAAAGGCTTGAACACAGGTATATATGGGCCTGAATCTGTTACCAGGTTAGTCAGCTCTTGGCTGCTGTGTAAGACACACAGCTGCTTCCCACCTAATTCTTGTCAAAAAAACTAGACCTATATCTCACTTGTATTAGCTCCTGTGCTCGCAGGACTCTCCAGAAGAAATGACGGTTTTTGTGAGCCCCCCGCTATGAACCTACAGTAACTCTCGCTGGTGGAGTTACCCAGCTCCACATCTGTGAACAGAACTGGACAGTTTCAGAGGCAATGGGCCAGAAACGCACCTTCATTTGGGCAGAAGTCTCCTGATTTCCAAAAATCCTCTGGGCCATGCCACGGTTGTCAGTTGCAATTCTCTGCAGGAAATCGTAATCTACATCAAATCCAATCCCAAGGCAGAAGAGAGAGAATTCATCCTTTATGCTCTGCTTCACGTTCTTCTGTATCGTCGTCAGCTTTAACTCACCTTGGAGACACACAAAGGGTGACATCCCTCTGAGCAATGGAGGAAGTCTCCATCAAAGTGAGCGTATTCATGGTCTTCCAGTGCCTCTGGATCTCTCTTAATATAAGGGAAATCTAGACAACTATCTCAGATGGCAGATCCCCATCTTGCAGTGCTTACAGTGACATCTGAGTTTCTCCTCGATGGAGATTAACAAATTCCTTCCACTGAAGATGATTCCTTTGAACTCTCTTTTTTTGGTATCTGATGCATGTTTTTATATATCCAGGGCTTTTATTAACTTACTGGGGAGTTCATAATTGTAACACACCTAGACTTCTCCCAGAATTACTTCTTCAAGCTCTCTGCAGACTGAGACATCTTCATAAAGGTTTTACTTTGTTTCTTGTACTTAAGGTGTTCTTTGACACCATTGGGACTGACTTTTTTTCAAACTTAGTTTTAATGGCAGCCTCTTCAGGGCTGGCACCTTGCAGTAAGCGGTTGCTTTTGACCTGTACCAAATCCAAATTAACTTGCTTTCTGCTTTATTTTCCTGATCTTGATGTTACACTTGGGACTGCATAGATCCGTGTGGGCTAAGGTCATTGGAACAGGAAATTTTTTCTAAGGATGTTCTAATTACCTCTCTCTCCTACAGGACTTGCCATCTCTGTAATAGCAAGAAGTACATAACTTGCATAACATAATCTGCTCATCTTTTGAAAGCTTCTGTGCAAAGCCCCGTGACACCTATAGGACTGGGCGAAAGAGCAGCACAGGCGTTGGGAGAAAGGGGAATGGGATTTTTTTTAACTTACTGTCAAAGTGTCTGCATGTTGCATGCTTTTCTCACGCTAATCCCACTGGCCTCTCTTCTCACCTACAGCAGGTTCCTTACCTACTGTTGGGTCTCCATCCGACACCAATACGATCATGGAGACTGAGTTAGGGTCCAACATGCCTAAGTTTTGGGCTTCATTCAGGATGAATGTGGCTCGGAGAAGAGCTTCGTTGATATTTGTGCCTGTCAAAGACACAATGAAGAAACCAAGTTTGATTCTTGTTGAGTCTCTTGTTGAATCCAGATCCGTTCTGAGATTCTAGTGGAATTAATCATCACGGACAAGACCTGAGATCAAGGCAGCAAAACCGCTCCTCTGTGATGCTTACGGTACATCAGCCTGCACTCTGGTTCCCTTTTTCATCCCAGGCTGTCATCTTTATGTGGCCTCCCCATTCCCTCTTACTAATTCCAGTGGGAGCATTTGTGGTGTTGGGAACTATTTGCTGTGGGGAGAAGCAGAGGGTTTGCAGGCAGACGATTAAATGAGGGCATGAAGAAACTTTCTTTTCTAGCATCAGCCTGTTCCTTGGACAACTTGATTGGAAAAGAAGAGATACGTGTTTACTGAGCCTATCTAACATTTTGGCTTGGGGCACAGAAGGAACAGACTAAGAAATTAGTATGACAGGAACGAGAGCAGGAAGGATGAGCAGTCAGAAAACAGGTATTTTCTTTGTCAAGAAAGAAAAAAATTAGAGGCTCCAGAGGCAAGATAATAAACCACCGCATTGCAAACTGGCTTTGCTGGATGAGAGCAGGTCTCTTAGCTTGTCTGTCAACACTTTTGGAGTAACAAAGTCAGGCCTATGAGGCATTCATATATTCAACATGGTTTCCTGTTCCCAGCACACTGATGATTTTGGACAAGCCTATAACTTCACATTGATTCGACCTCACTTGTTGCCAGTGAAAGCTTCTGGAAACAAAGGCACCACAGCACCAGAAGGCTTTGATGTTGGTGAGAGCCTCTACACACTATTGGCATCCAAATAACTGAACAAGTAAACAAGAACGGCACTTCAGAGAGCAATGGATTAAAACAATTGTGACTCCCTTCTCTACAAATAGCTCAAGCACTAACAAATGAAGCCTCCAAAGCGCTGTAAGGCTGAAAAAGGCAACGGTTCTTGCTTATCAGGCAGGGAATGAAGGCATGAAAAGGATGAACAGTTTGTATAGAGTGGCATTTAGTAGACCATGACGTAGTCTACAATTTACAGCCAGTGGAGACTCTGGAATGGGGCTGCTTATGATCTGCTTTACAAAGGCATGAAATGGCCTTTGTCTTTCAAGGATATTTAAGGAACTGTGAAGCTGGAGGCAGGACCTATAGATTTAAGGCAGCTGTTCTATGGACTATGTTCTATCTGCTGTAGCTTATTCAGTAGAAGGATATGCCCTCCCATCCCCTAACACAATAAACTGGAATCCTTTCTCTCCTGTAGCCCCAGGATGTACTTTTCCCATCTCGGGAATCAGACCTTTTGTGAGGAATACTCTGCCAATCAGAAGGTTGTCTAAGGTACCCGTTCCTGTGATCTCTAACTTCCATGAGCACGTTGCAATCAAAACCTCATACCCCCGTTGGGATGGATTGTCTGGATGTACTTCTTAGCATCTTCAACCTGCGCTGGGGTGGCTGAGACTAGATTATCTCTCCAGCATCGGACGTTGTGGTTGAAGTCAATAAGGGAGAACTGATCAGCAGCACGGAGCTCACTCAGTATTGCCTTCATGGCCTCGATGGTCTGAGAAGAAGAAATGTAAGAGAAGGTGACTTTATGCTTCCTGTTGGTGAAAGCATCTTCTTAACTTGTGACTACAGGCAAACAGATGCCTCTGATGAATAAGAACATGAGCACTCGAATCCAAAATAGCATCTGCTATCCAAATCTTTCCTTTTTTGCGCTTCTTGCACAAAGTTGAACTTTTCACCAAAGCAAAGAAACACAGAAAAAAATGCAATTAGCAAGAACAAACCCATGTGACTCAACCCATCCTTGCTTAACTTCTGTTAGCACAGAGTGAGGTGAGAGAGAGAAGCAGTCTTGGAGACATCATGGTTCAGGAGGGAGGAATTGCTTACATCAGCCCAGGAGACTTAGCTCTGTCTGCAATGCTGTCGTTTCAGGCTGGGTAACATCTGTTTGAAGGCGTACGATTCAAACAAGTGGCAACTAGCCTGTATCCCAGTTTTGCAGCACTGGTTTCCCCAAGGAAGCAATCTGCCAAGATTACCTAGATCGTGCCTGACTGATGTTTGTCTAACCAACTCTTAAAAACCTTTAGTGACACACGATCTACAATGTCCTGAAGTCCTCTCTCAGCACGATGAAGTTTTTCCTGATATCTAATATAAATCTCTCCTGCTGTAAATCCATCTGATTCCATCTTATTCTACCCTGGATGGGCATGAATGTCAGTTGATGATTTTCCCTTTTAGAACAACTGTTCGCATACTCGGATGCTGATTATGTCTCCAAGTCTTTTCTTTTGCAGACTAAAACACCTTATTTTTTGCATTTCCTTTTTTTCCCGCCCCCATGTGTTATGTTGTCTAAACAGTTCTTACTGCTCTTCAGTGGGCTGTCAACAACTTGTCCACAACTTTTTGAAAGTAGGGCTGTAGTATCCCCACTGAGGCTTTCTCAGGATTCCATAGAGGAGATCAGAGAAAAAGGGCATCAGAGCCTTTGCAAAATATTTTGTGATCTATCAATTAAGTTTTTAATTTAGAGCTAAAGTCTGTATTCTGATGGCATCACCTCTTCCTTACAACATGGAAGGAGAATTACAAATGAAGAGCGAAATCATGAAGTCTTTGCTTCATCAAATATTCTCCAAATTCACTGAGACTTCTGATGGAGTAAAGAGTAAAGAACCAAGCTGGTAATTTTGAGTGCCAGTCTGCTACAGAATTGTATGGTAAGGCACATGGGAAAAGTTGGCAGAAGGTTCTTTTTGCAATAGAGGTCAAACACTTACTTGTTTCATTTTCAGTCCCCACATCGAGCCACTGACATCTATAACAAATAGAATGTTTTTGGGCAGAGGATCAAGATTTTCCGGAGCAAAGAAGTGAATAAAATAGCCATTAAAAATCTGCAAAATAAAATAAAAATATTCACAATGAAGATGTCAGAAAACTCAAGACAATAACAGAGCAGAAAATGTCATTCTTCTTTATAGGCCAATTCTAACTTTCAGCTCTGCACGTCTCTGTAGCCTTATGCCATTTATACTCCATAGTCTTTACTTTTTATCAGGGAAAGCAGAGCCTGGTTCTCAGACAACTGCCATGCACTAGCATAGGGAGGAATGAAAAATGTTTTAAAAAAGACTGTTCTGTCTGTAATAATTCAACCCCATAACTCTGCTTCATGTTAACATAAAAATAGCGATGTTCTGGTTGTCTCCTTGTGATGTATTGGTACAACATCCAATGACTCTGTCCTCTGATTCAACATTAAATCACCAGAGTGCTGCTAGGTATAAAAGACGTTGGATTTTGGACAAGACTGGAATCTGCTCCTGAGTATATGTAGGACCACGTCTTAGTCATAAATTAAGTAAATCCATTCTGCCCACTTAAAATCTCTCTGTTCTTTCAATTGGATACAGAGCTCTTTCTCATGCTTGTTCTCCTGAACGATGAAGTTTATTTAGCACAGTTTGCTTAATGACAGCAATTCTGGTATTCACAGATCTCCCATCCCAGTTCAACAGCAACGCTTACTTCCAATTCTCCACCCGTGGTTTCTCTGTTCACATCATATTGCACCACAAAATTTCCATCTACTGCTGTGGATGAGCACGTGGGGCATTTTCGTTGCTGAGCCATCGTTGGCTTGAAAGAAACATGAGCCTTGAAACGAGACATGATCATCAGTCAGTGAGATGTTGCGTGAAAGGTGGGTCATTGAAACAGAAAGTTAGTTTAGTCATGAAATAGCTTATTTCACTGAACACTTTTCTTCTTTCTCTATTTGTACTCTTAGTTTAAGCAGAAAATGGACTTTGTCACTTCAAAAGAGAAACTGTACTAAGGTTTGCCTGGATATGCTTATACACTAGTAGCAACTGTGAGACAAACAAGATGACCCATCTACAGTACCAAATATTTCAGTTAGAGCTCTGTAAACCATTTCCAGTAAGCAACACGTTGGCGTGTTTAACATCTTCCCAGTTGAAATTACCCATAATTTCATGAACATTTTTAATAGCTTTTAAATTGATCTTTTTCCCAAACAAACAAAAGCTTGTAATTTGTCTGTCAGTTGAATAATAGGAATCATTTTTATTAGTCACATGATTGGTTATGCAGACTTTATGGCTTTATTTCTCTGCTTTGACTGGATAACTTCAAATTTCCTGAGAAGATAAGACATAACATATATAGCCACACAATACCTCTGAAATAATGTGCTAAACTAGGAATGGGGGTGGATGAGACATCAGGTTGAGCCTGAATATCAAGAAACAATACTGCCTGATATATTATTATAGTTGTATAGACAAACTTTTTGGGCTTGATTCACATATCCTGTATTAGATGTCTATGTAAGAGTGAGAAGAGTTGTACCCTCCCAGAGTCACTACTTGAAGTTTCTTGAGAAAAACTTCCGTACTGTTGGAGGGTTTACTTACACCCAAGAGCTGGAGAAAGCTAGAGTAAAATGTTAAGGAAAAGAGCAGTCCTAAAATAAGTCTTTATGCAGATGTTATCAGTTGAAACTGAGGTTGTGGAGTTATTCCAGAATGGTTATTCCACTTGATATTCATCACCTACCTTTTTCAGGTCCAGCGTTCTCAGTGCATTGCATGTTCAGAATTACAAATTAAAAGCTTTGTGCAAAGATGGACGGACTACACAGTATTTCTGCACTGCTGTCATGGTATAGTGTAGTAGTATTTGAGCATCTTGTACATACATTTAGGTATCAATAATGAAGATGCTATAACTTTTTTGCCACATTTTTGCATGCTTCCAGCAGGTATGAAAAAAGTGCCATGACTGCATAGGAACAAGCGTGAAAACGGAAGTTTTCATGCTATTTCCAGTCTGTGACTGTTACCTTTTTCTCTCCCTTGGAGATGGTGGTGATTCCATCAAAGTGATCTCCAAAGGAATTAGGAACATGCACATAGCGAAGTCCCTGTGGCTCAATAATGCGGACATCCACCTGAAGGCAGAAAGGGAGAACATTCAGGGCGGAGCAGTGCCAGTGTTGTACCAGGATCTTATGAACCCTCCACGGGCAAAGTCCAGCTGGGGGGTGGGTTGCTCTTGAGAATGATCCAGTAGGGCTAGTGTCATTCGTGGTGGGTATCATCTGTGCAATGCTGATAATAGACCATGATGGAAAGGCCAAAAAAAAACCTGTCCAAAGAACAGAAAGAATTTTCTCATTCTTTCTCTCTCTCACCCCCTGGGCAAGTGGTGGGATAGGAGTCAAGGGTGATACCATCACTTATGCTGAAAGCACAAAAGAAGCATGAAGTGACTCTACCTCAGTGCTGCTTTGGGTTAGGAGGGCAGGAGGAACACTCAGTGATGAGTTCTCTCCCTCTCTACCCATGCTATTGACAGGACAGAGAGTATTTTTGCTTTGGTTTGGATGGCCAAGGTGATTTGGAAAATAAAGGTTTTACCCTGTCAGCCTGAGATAAGGCTTTTTTCTGGTCGTGCTTCTGAATAGTTAGCAAGACTACTAGGAGGCAGGACACATGGTCCTTTTCAGTAGGACTAACTCAGGCCTTTGGACAGCTTGAAGAAGATCAAGCCTACACCAAGGAAACCTGAGCAGCAAACTTTCATATACAGCTTGTGCTGAAGCCATGGAAAGCTGAAGAAGGCATTTGTGAAATGGGAACATAAGAATGGCCAGATAGAAATGTCCAGCTAGCCCTGTATCTTGTGTCTGTTGAGGGATGACAGAGGACACCTTTGGGTGAGTGTAAGAAAGAGGATAAGAATAAGACAAGTCATCTTCTGGCAGACAGTTGTGAAGGGACTGTCGTTCAGAGAACCTCTGCTCTCACAGGACACTCTCTCATGAAGTTGGGATTATTGTGAAAATCACTGTTCCAAATAAATAGCAAGTATTGTTTGTTTTCCTTCAGTAAAGGCAAGTTTACACAGGGGTATATATAGGCCAAAGCTTGTTTGCCCAAGTGGTTCTGACGTGGGTCAGTCACGATTCAGGAGATGCCCATCTGTGTCAGTACAAGAGGAGGCAGGACACATCTGCTCCTCACTCATGTAGCTACATAGCTCCTGGTTTGAAGCGTCTCATGCTGGTCTACACAGTGACCTTGAGGCTATGTGTACCAAGCCCATATGAAAGGAAGGAGCTGTAGATGAAGTGTCTTGCTGTGGCTGCTTTCTCAGTGAGGATTCATCTGTGGGGTGCTGCCTACACACACCAGCTCTAATTTACCTCCATGTGCTTTGCCAAGCGTCCTGGCTTCACAGAGATGACATGCTCATAGGAGCTCAGTTTCCTTCGAATCATTTCATGGTAGTGAAGTTCGAACTGGATCCTCGTCCCTGGGGGTACATTCACTTCGGTTTTGAAGTTTTCCATATCCAAGGCATTGCTCCTGAAAAGTCAGCTGTGGGGTTATTTTGAGAAAACACAAGGAGAAAGAGAGCTTCTTTGCATTTTGGTTTAGCTAGGCACTTGCTGGGTCTGATTCTAACTGTGGTTTATATCAGGGAACTGCAGCTATCTATTAGCATGGTGTGTTTTACCAAGCTGAAAGCAGAAACATGAGTTAAGACCTTGACAATTAAATATCAGAGTTGCTGTAAGTAAGCAACCCATTTTCCTTTCCAGAGTTTCCCCCTCATCTGTATCCTCCTGGGATGGGTCACCTCAGTTCTCCTACAAGTAAGTTCAGCACAATACTCGTATGCCAAAGTCTTTATACCTGACTATTCCAGCAGCTTTGCCTTTGGCTTTTGCTTGAGAGTACATTTTTCTGGCCTCAGATTTTTCCCGAATTTTGCTGGTAAATGATATACCATTGACATCCCTAGGAGAGAGAAGCACAATCAGTTTGCAAAAGAAACAGCTTTACAATCGACGACTGTTTCTTCACTTTAGAAAAACATCAGTGAAATCTAAGCTGGTGGGAAATGAAATAATAAGGCTCTTGTTTAACCCCAAAGTAATGAAGTCTGGTTTCCACTAGATCTGTATCTTTTTCCTTACCTGCTTTTTTATTTGCAGTAGCCAGCACTTTTGTACTCTGAGGAGGATCTGCCCTCCCCCACCTCCTTCACACTTTCCCCATTCTTTGGGCAGGGCAGGCAGTTACTGATGTCGTGGCTGTTTTGGAACATGGCTTAGGACATGTCTCCTGACCAGCAAGCTGGCTGCTGCTTCTCTGACTGGATACTGCACCAGGCTAGTTTCTTTCTGTTCAGAGGGCTCTAATTGTCTCTCTCTCCTTTGGTCTGGTGCCATCTTGCACAAGACAGGTAGGAGCTTAGTCTGTTTGAGACTTTTGTCCTTGTGTCAAATTTTGTTGATGTTGGCCAATGGCCCAATAATTACTGGAGAGGAAGAGATGGACAGACAGACAGTGTGATGACATGAGCCTTTTTTCTTTGACAAAGCCTGCTAAAATTAAACTGAACCTGGAAAATAACAAGAGGTGCTTTGCTTTTACAAATACTTCCCTTGCACCACATGCTGCCACCACATTGACCCCTGCCAGAGCACAAGGCTGATACCTGCTCACTACTTACATAGTAAAGTTGTCAATAAAAGCTCCTTTGGGCACTTGTACATCAAACACTATGTGCTGGGATCGTTTTGCGTTATTCACCATTTTGGCTTGGATCATTGTGTTGGCCAACCGTGACGTTATAGTGGATTGAACTTTGTAGCTGTAAAGACCTATCTTGTCATCATCCTCCACCTGCAATTGACAAAATTACTCCATAAATTTCAGACACAGCTAGAAAATGTGCCCTAGAGGGCAATACAACTCCTTTTATAGTCTCAGTGCCTTTTTTTTCAGTTGCTGTTCCTTACAATATGGCAGCTAGATGGGACATGAACTCAAGGTCAGGACACCTCCATACTTTACCTGGCAATTGCGGCAGGATATTCATGTGAATACAGTTCATGATAACATTTCGGCTGAAAGAGGGAATTTATTAAGTTGGAATATTTTCCTTTCTTTTGACCATGCAACTAGTCCTTGGAACGACTCTGTTGGTGCAATCCAGCACAAAAGGGTACACAGTAACCCTCCACATTGTATACTGAGGAGGAGAGAGCTTACATTTTCAATGAAAGTCCTAAATAAAGGAGATCTGAAGCACTGGTTACTGAATTAATCTTGTAAATGGTTAAACCATGGCAGTGGGAGAACAGTATTAAACTCATATATTAAGATATTGTCTTTGTCTAATCACTTTTGATGCTTATTTCTTCATATTTACCATACCTTTCTGCCTCCAAGAGCAGTTGTATAAACAGCATTGTGCAAACAGAGCTCTGTTTAAAGAAAATAGGTTAATACCCAACCAGCGGTAAAAACAAGGAACTGAACAAACAAAAGGATTGATTTCCAAAAAATGGTTAACTAGAAAATCACTTTGTTCAGTATTATTTTCCACAGAGGAGGAAAAAAACTCACCAGATCTCCAACATACCCCCAGTCAGATGTGCTTCTCTGGAAAAGAAAAGTAAGGAGAACGTATTTCAGCAAAGCTAAGAACAAAGATTGTGGCTGTTTCAAGGCAGGGATCAGACAGTGGTAATGTTTAAAATCTGCTTTCCAAGATTATGAGAATTGGTTCGAGTTCTCAGACGTAGTGTGCATATTACTTTTGTCTTATTTTATACATTTATACACAGGATGTTGGAGCATGTGCTCTCCCAGCTGTGACTTAGAGGCTGTAAAAAAACAGGACAGCTCTCTTCCTCTGTCTTATTTTTCATAGAAGACATTCTCTTCTAGAACAAAAATGTTCTTCCTGAAAGCAAAACATGGTGGCAAAAAGGTCATACTCAGAAACCCTAGCTTTTAACAGAAAAATTCTTGTTTTGTTTTTCTAGGAAAAGTGGAAAAACTCTCAAAACCCAGAACTTTTAACCTCGTTTCATTTTCATTTACATTACAGATCATACATTTATATTTTTGTATTATATGCAATAAGTATGTATTAAAAAACCCCTATTGTGTAATCGAGATTACATTTGTACAATTGTATATATGGTAAATTATGTATGCACTGCTTCGAAGAGCTGAAACTGCTCTTAATGTTTGTTTTTTTCCCCCGCTCTTAGAAAAGTTCCATTTGGAAAGTTCTACGAAGAGGTGGTGACATCTTGTGGCCATTTGAATAATTCTGTTTAATTCCCTAAAACTTAAACTCACGTAAGTAATCCTGGGATGGAATTTGGCTCACCTAGTTCTAAGTGGAGATGCAATTGTTTAATGCAGATATCTGCTTTGGTGGTATCATCACAACTAGGCAAGCTCAGCTCTTCACAGTCAATGGAATGATCCTTTTCATCTGAAAATAGATACCCCCCTTTGGTTGAGTGAGTCCTGCCCTAAACCATGCTGCCTGTATTGACCAGAGGAGTGAGTACCCAGTGCTGCTGGTAGTGCCCAAGGGTACCACTCTGGCCTTCAGATGGGGGTCCAGGAGATCATGAGGCTCCTGTAGGGTGTGCATGTTATCTGACAGCAAGATGTCTTGGACACTGCTCAATCCGTACATGTAGGCTACTGAACTGAGCTGTTCAACTCCACTGATGATACACAGAAACTTAGGGAGACTAGTTCAGATGCTGATGGTTAAATTACAGAAATGTACCAAAATATGCCAATCTCATCTGAGGTTTCAGTAGCATTTGAATCCAAGAGGGCCCAAAACCACAGAAGATGCTCATGAAAACATCCTTAGTCACATGGTTCATGCAAGGCTTGCTATACAGTTACTAAGTTCATTAGAAGATAATTAATGTACTGTTACCAGGAAAATCTTGGGCACCATAAGAGATGATACATGTCACAGCAACATCACTTTAAGGAGATGATTTTAAGGATCCTTTAAAGCCAGATAGAGAGACTGCAAGATTTCCACCTGCCTGAGAACAAATGCAGGTTTTTGTTTGCTGACTCTACAGGCTCCACCCGAAACATTCAGATTGGATTTTCAGGATCTGGAAGTTTCTGGCTCTCTAGCGACCCTCTGCAAAGCCTGATGGACTGATCCTTGCTCAGTCCATCCTGACACCCCACAAACGTCACTGTACAGTGAACTGGACTCTTCACATCTGATAAAGAACCAGACCATGAAGAATGAGTGCTGTCCCCACACATACCCTTGGCATAGGAGACATCACCAACATGAATATAAATTAAGATTAAACCAGCCTTAACTGAAACAAATTTAGTCTTGAAAAGATGAAGACCCAGACCTTAGCACAGAGGGGATTCATTTTATTGTGGCGTTTTTCTGGCTCTAAGAAGAGCTTAGAGTTCCTGACTCACTTTACAAATGGTGCCTAAAGCTTTCAAGATGCCCATGTTTCCGACCTGTTTGTTTTTGTGAGGGTGGAGAAGGGGGAGGTGCTGATGGAGATGTGAGCTTATCACTTGCACACGTACTGACTCCCACTGCTGTTGTTAGAGTTCAGACATGGAGTGGGCCAACCATCCCCCTAAGATCAAAAAGATTGTAGAGGGCAGCCCCTCCAACAGGTCAGGAGGAGAGAGCTGTAGATAACTCTACTCCACGTCTGGTGTGCTTACTGAGAACATGGGCTTTGTAGGGACTTCTGTGGCACGAGACTCATGCTGTTTCTGGCATGAGGATTCATGGCTGATCCTTGCCATCTGCTGATGACTGCACTGCGTAGAAACCATATATTGTGCAATACCTAGTGCATGGCAACTTGTTAATTAGAGTGGAGACAACACGTGCCTCAGGAACTGTTTTAAGGATCTGGTCTTGACAGATGCTAGGCCCTATCTTCAGGTACTGAGACCCATCTTCTCCTGACACCTGTGCAGGGTGTTGATATTTAGACCTCCATAATGATCTTTGTTCAAATCACTGTACATGAATGTTGCAACTACTGTGCAGTCTACCATCAAGAAAATATTGGGTACTTCAAGCTAACTTTTACCCAGGGCTGCTGGCCCTGACTCCTCCTGTCCTGTCCACGAAGGAAGAAGCCATGGTGTCTGAGGGAGGAATGCATTACAAGAGGTAACACATTACAAGACATTGAAGCTTTTACATCACCTATGGGATGCTTAGCTTGCCTTTTCTTTCAAGTTGCAGTCCACAGGCTGCTTCTGACTTAGCGACTTAGTAAAGCAAAGAAAGCAGATTCAGAGATATTATACTGCATTTGAAGGAAATTGCTTTTCTACTGGGGAATGAAATAAGTTGAAAAGCCGATGCCCCACATGGGAAACTAGAATCCCAGAATCGTAGAATTATAGGGGTTGGAAGAGACCTCTGGAGATCATCTAGTCCAACCCTCCTGCTAAGGCAGGTTCACATAGAGCAGGTTTCACAGGACCTTATCTAGGCGGGATTTGATTATCTCCAGAAAAGGAGACTCCAAAACTTTACTAGAAAGAAGATGAGATCTACCTGGCATGTCCTCCCAGTTCTTTGAGGTGTGATTTCATCGTAGATTCACTTTTTTTCATGTGAATCATTTCCTAAGCTGTTTTTAACACACTGCAATTTCATTTCAGCCTCTTCAGACTCCCTTTAGGGATCATGACCCTTACTGTGACGTGCAAGAAGAGCAATTTCAAACATAAGGCTTGGCAGAGTTTGTCTTCTGAGTGCTGCAGATGGATCCTGGTCTCTCTGGTTGCCTTTATACCCTGGGAGCTGGGGGGATCTCCAGCCAGCTGATTCCACCCCATGTTTCCTTCCATATTTCCTTCCTGTGCTGGTCCCATGGAGAGAAAAGCAGGCAGTCAGAGCAGTAAGGAAATAGGTGTGATCTCACCTGGCTCTGGATAGCCAGAGATTAGGACCAAGACTGAGGAAAATGCTACAGAACATCCCACCTCACAGTCTAGACGCAAGCTCTGTTATCTATCTCCAAAACTGAGATAATGACAGTGCACCATCATATAGAGGTTCACAAGGTTACCTGCATTCCAGCCCATGGGGCGCTCTGTTTCTGTGGTCACAAGGACCATTCACATACCTGAGACACAGTATTTTTGGAATTACTCAGGAGCAAATAGGAAGGACAGCCCTCCTCCAGTGATTAACATTAAGTAACTGTGTGCCTGCTGTGGCCAAGAGATACTGTCTCAAGATGTTTCACGTAGCTCTGTTTAATCTCATTTATTAATATTTTATGGTGACTAAACTAACATAAGGGTAGCTCATCTTATGGCTGAGATCTTAGTTCTACCAGCTTGCAAAGACTCATTTGATAGGTAAAGGATGGGAAATGATATATGGGAATATAAGGAACAACTGGTATAATAAAACCACTAGTAGAATTGCAAATTACTGCATGCGTTTGTCTGTACCACTACATATCTGGAAAGTTGTGGAGCAAGGGCAACATAATATATATGGCACTAATACAGACATGTTGGAAAGGGATGATGCCCTGAAGAAGTGCAGCTAGAGATGATTATTATGATTAAATTATTTAAATATCTGTCTGGCAAATGTGAGCTGGCTTGATTCATATTTATGCTGAAATCTTCCATTTTTCTGGCAGTGTAATGGGGGCTTTAGGTGTCAGTAAGTTACATTTACAGTCTGTGTGAGTCCCCTTTTGAAAAGCCTTAAGATAAAGAAGAATCATGTTTGCCTGTGCCTGTGCTTCAAAGATGTTGGGAAATCCAGCTTTGCTCGAGAGGATCTTTTGCTTTCACTACATTGAACGAGCTCAAGAAAGGCAGCACCAGAGCTTGGCGGAGGACAAGGTCCACTTTGATCATCATTTCTTTCATGCAGTGTAATAATAGTTAATACCGTCAAACAACTGATGATTATTATCGTTAATCACTGCTGTGTAAAACACGAGAAAACTCCTATAATGCTGTTTTAAATGTTTCTGCCTCAGAAGCTGACAGACTATAATAACCTGCAGCCCCTCGGTACGCTGGAAAGAAATTTTCTTCCCTGGTCTCGGACTCCACCAGCTCATTACCCATGTGACACTGTGCTGCACTCTTTTGACCTGAGTTGAATACGAATGAATGGACTACTTGCAGGACTGAAAGGTTTCAGCCTACATTACCAGTGTCTGAAGTCCTTGTCTGTTTTCTCATGGAAAAGCCTCACCAGTATCAATGGGATCTTTCCCACAGATGAAATTAGACGTTGTTTAGCATCTGTATTATGGTTCTTCAGAGTGCAGATATGGAACAAAGCCTTGTTGTGTTAAGTACTGCATAAAGGATTGTAGCAGCTCTTATCCCAACGAGAGAAATGGAGGTCTCAATGTATATAAGGACCTGCTGGTGTCACCGGACTTCACACTCACAGCCCTTGACATGGAACAAGCCACCTGGAGAGCTCTCCCAGGCATTCTTGCTTCCCCTTTTTTGAAGCATTTCTGAGTACTGTACCTGGTACCTGCCATTTCTTGTCTTGGAGCTTGAAGGAAATCCATCGATTTCCAGGTCAATCAGGTTTTCCACTTCCTAGAGAAGAAAGAGCAAGCAAGAAAGAGGTGTTGCTGCTGCCTTACTGTTTGATTTATCACTTGATTTATTGTTGATTAGCATTCTAATAGAGTTCCAAAGGGAATTTACCTCCCCTTGGTGCAAATACGGAAGAGTGACAGACCGTCTCAGACCAAAATGTTGCATCTTCACACATTCAGTTTCCCTCTGTGGACAACTAGCTGTATATATTCTTACAAGATCATGACCTTTACCATCATTTTACAACCTTTCCTTCTAAAACAAGGAGTAATATTTAACACACTGAAATGACCATAAAAAGGTAGATTATCATCAGGATGGGTCTAGCCATGGTAACTACAACATTTCAGATACTGATCTCACTTAAACCAGCAAGCTCAGAGAATTTCTGCTCAAACCAGTAGCAATTGTCTCTGGTTTTATACTAAGAACTAAATTTGTCCCATTGACAGCAAAGAGACATGAGGTCTTTTCCAAGTGCAAAACTGCACTAATTCAGTTAGATGTGTGGTTTTACACCACTGCAATACTCTTAATTAAATTTTGTTAGAAGTTTAATTTATGGCAATAAAGAAGTTTAAGTACATGAGTTGCACTCCAACTTATATGATAGCGTACACACAAAGGTTTGCACAAAATTAAACTCAAATTGTTTAGGCACACTGATGTTACTGCTACGGCATCTACGGTTCGAAAGGACCACAGGTTTGGAATATATTTCCTGGGAATTACAAACTCTATATGAAAATCCCACTGTGTCATGAGAAGTGCTGTAAGAAGAAAGAAAAAGAGGTTTTCCCTGCTCACTAACTCTTTTTGTTAATCTTTCAAAGGAAATGAAAGCTTTGCAGAATCCTGGCTGACTTCACAGAAATATTGCGATATGGCAATGTGGAAATGGGTGTAGACACCCAAAATTAAGTTTACTGGAGTCCAGGGGCTTAAATTTGGACTCAGCTTCAGAGTGAAAGCTATAACTATATTTCTTTTCATCATTGTAGTAGTCTAAGAGATTATAAGTTCTTCTGTAAATTATCTCATCCCTCTGCTGAGGAATGTGCAGTCAATAAGATCTTAAGTCCATATTTGAATTCCTGTTAAGAAAATCCTGAGTCCATATGAAGCTTCACTGAAGTTCATTGTGGTCCATACAGTAGACCCCATCCACAAAGACATCTAAGTGTTCTGTTTCTGCTTATTCCAGAGAAACAGGATATAAAATACCCTGAAGTTCTGAGCATAGAAGCCCACTTGAATGTTTAGAGGTTAAAACCACCAGAAAAGGCAAAGTTGAGGTAAAAATCTGAATCCTGCTTGAAAAGAAACTTGGAGTTATGCCCATACTATCCCAACTTTAATAATATTAAAAAAGCAACACTATAAATGACAACTGAAAAACAATTATCAGAAAAATCCTATTTACAGCTAAGAGTAGAAAAGAATTCATGAGATACAACCAGAGCTATGAAGCAATCACCCAGTTCTGCTCCCACTGAAGCCAGCTGCAGCTTCGGCATTGACTTCAGCAAGGAAGGGAGACCTAGGCCCTGCCTTGGAATACTCACATCTGGGATTTCGTCGATAACAAGATCAAAGCTTCCTACTCCAGAAATGACGAACAAAACCAGGAAGAAGATCAGATGCTTCATTTTCTTCCTGCTTGTCTCCTGAGAACAGCCTGCATAGGTACCAGACACAAGATCTTTCCTTCTCTGAGACAAGTTCAAGGAAACAGCTCAGGGTTATGCAGTATTTTGAACAAAGTTTTGAAACTCTGACTTTGTTTAGGCCATAGGTAAATATTTGCCTTGCAACGTAAGTCTGAGCTGTGGTGCCTGAGCAAGGGTTATCCAAATAGTGTCTTCACTCCCCTCTGCCCTCGATAACAGCTCAGGCTTGGATAGGCTCACTTCTTGCTTTTGTAGCTTCCCATGATGTTTGACTAATTTCCTGCTAGGCGCAGACCTTGGAGTATCCCAAACTTCAAAAGATCAAAGCAAGAACTCACTCCTAGCTTGTTTGTTTATAGTAAACGAGGTGAAGACTGGTTCTCAGAGCGATGGAGGCAGCAACACTGTGCTTTTCCAAGGGCCCTCCCAGCCAGCCATCTCACCAGGGGTTGGCAGAGACCTTTGGGTTGGATCCTGACCCACACAAATACCCTTCTTCCACTCTGGCTGGGAAAGGATCATAGCTGGTGGTGACATAGTTCTAGTTTTTCAAAGTCAGTCACGTGAAAAGCTGCGATGATACTTTCAGATGCATATTGTACAGCTCCTGGGTGCTTTTGAAACTGTTTTGGCCTCCCTGCCTCTTTGGGTACTTCAAGAGATGGGATAAAGTAAGCCAGCAAAGCAAAAGGGGAAAAGAAGGGAGGAAGCAGGTTTCTGGCAAAAGGAGCTGGGGTGTCCCTTCCACTCTTCTAGAAAGAAAGGAAATTTGCAGACATCTGAGCAACCTCAATGGAAAAGACTGAATTACTATGTGAACCCAGGAATAAAACAGTAGACAAGATTATATTATATTACATTACATTACATTATATTATATTAATTATATATTAATGATATGATACGATTGATATATTATATTGACTATGTTATATTAACTATATTATAGTAATTATATTCTGTTATCTTACCCTATGTTATGTTACCTTTCAATGTTTCAGTAAAAAGATTTCTGCAGCACCGTTCTGCTGTTACACAGCCTTCCTCCATCTTTTCAATAGCTCGTTTCTCGGGCTGAGGCCTGAAACTACATTCAGAGGTTCACAAGGAGTGTAAGCAGAATAGTGACCTCTCAGCTCACTGCCATGTAAGAGCTGCCCAAAGTGCTTAGGAGAGAACATAAGAACAGGAGCAAGCATGTAAAGCATTTTGCAAAGACCCTCCTAGTCTCCAGCTACTTGTAGCTGTGGTACATCCAGTTCAGGAGATGGCTTCCATTTATTCAGCAGTCCTTAGCTAATTCATTTTCCAAAAAACTATCATCTTCTCTGAAGGGATTGGATAAAAAATTAGCATTCATAGCACCCTGTGAGAAGAAGTCCCACACCTTAACTATACGCAGAACAAACCACAGCCTTTTGATCACTTTGGACCTGTCATGGGATAGCTCCATATACTGTTTCACAGATGTTTTGCTGGAAGAGGCATTGAATAATTAGTCCTGATTTGACCTCTCCCACAATATTTTGGGCAATCCTGGATCTTGAACTTGGAGATGACATAGCTCCAGATTTTCTAGAAAGCTTAGGAGCTTGTAGGCTCTATCCAAACTAGTACACAGCCTTCATAGACATGCATTTTGCTTTTGCATTGATCCATCCACACAGTGGTTCTCCACATCACCTATTTATTATATTCTTCCTAAGCTCTGGCTCAGCTCTCAGAGGATGCACGTGTAGAGACTGCAATATTGCTTCTCCTGAAGAGACAGTTTCTGAATGCAGAGGTCACTTCATAAGCAGTTCTGCATCCCTCAGGCCCAAACAGCATGACCTGGCCAGTCTTCCCCTCCTCTGTGTTACCCCAGATCATCTGTGTTGCAGCTTCCCATGGAGGTGCAGGTAAGTCATGTGCATGGAGGAGTGGAGTGTACAGGAGGGGAACGAGAAGGGTGGGAGCAGGGTGTTTCAATAAACATAGAGTCATTTAATTTGGAAAAGACCTTTAAGATCATCAATTCCAACCATAAACCTAACACTGCCAAGTCCAATGCCAGTCCTAAACCATGTCCCTAAGTGCCACAACTACACATCTTTTAAATACCTCCAGGTATGGCGACTCCACCACTTCCCTGGGCAGCCTGTCCCAGTGCTTGACAGCCCTTTCAGTGAAGAAATTTTTCCTAATGTCCAATCTAAACCTCCCCTGGGGCAACTTGAGAGCATTTCCTCTCGTCCTATCACTTGAAACTTGGGAGAAGAGACCGACCCCCACCTCACTACAACCTCCTTCCAGGTAGTGGTAGAGAGGGATAAGGTCTCCCCTCAGCCTCCTCTTCTCCAGGACAAACAGCTCCAGTTCCCTCAGCCGCTCCTCACCAGGCCTGTTCTCCAGACCCCTCACCAGCTTCGTTGCCCTTCTCTGGACACACTCCAGCACCTCAATGTCCTTCTTGCAGTGAGGGGCCCAAAACTGCACCCACCATTCGAGGGGCGGCCTCACCAGTGCCCAGTACAGGGGCACAATCACTGCCCTACTCCTGCTGGCCACACCATTGCTGATACAGGCCAGGATGCTGTTGGCCTTCTTGGCCACCTGGGCACACTGCTGGCTCGTGTTTAGCTGGCTGGGGACCAAAGTAGCACAATGAGGGATGGGATTACCCTAAAATAAATCTTTGTCTCCCTTTTTAGTCCATGGAAATAAGTAGATTTTTTTTTCTGACCATAAGGTTCCAGACTTTAATTACCTGCCACACTACAGAATGGGATGAATCCTGCCCTTGCTGGGTCTAATTCATGCCATGAACAATAGAGGGAGTCCAGTCAGAGATCTCAGAGGAGGACACCAGCTCTGGGGACATCTACACTTCATCGAATGACTTCTACCTCCTGGAGTGAGCTGTTCTGTATTTGTCACCACTGTAGGCTTCCTGAGCAGAGGGAAATCTCAGCATTAAGATCTCAGGCATGTTACTTCAAACAGAAGGTTGGCTTACGGCTCTGTGGTACATAAAACATCCAGGTTGGCTTTAAATCATGTAGTCAAGGGACTGACAATCTAACCACATACCTTGGACTCAGTGTTTACTCAGGCTCTTAGGTGGATTTTGCTCAGTGCTGTGTGCTTGCAATCCTAGCAGTATTTAAGTTAGCTACCTTAAAGTTAGCTTAGGAACACCTCCATGAGTGAGGTCGGAGCTATGGCTATGCCAGGGCTTATCCAGGACTGCAAGAGCAGCAGGCACAGGGCACCTAGTCTTTGCTGTGTTGACAGGATCTACTATAGCTTGAATTTTCCATCTAAGCTGAGTTCTGTTCCCACACATCCCCCCAGCTCAGAGTGACCAGTCCTTTCTCATCAGAAATATAAAGCTTAAGACAGCTGTTCTGGAGGTATCTGGGATCCTGGACTGGGAAGTTAATCACTGCTGTTCTGAAGAGATGAAACAGTCCCTTTAGAACAGAATTTAATTTAAACACTAATTTTGTAATTCCTTATTTCAGTCCTCTCATAACCACCAAATGGGGCTCAAATTTTTTTCGGTAAAAATAACAAGATTGGGAAATCAGTGTGACCACTAGATGGCACGAACTGCTCAAATATACTGTCCAAAAGACTCCAAAAAGCTGAAATTTCTCCAGGAGAAGTTACAGAAAATATAGGGGAGGAACAAGTGCTGAGGATGCTCAAAGCCCTACCGTTTGCTATCAGGTTAGGTGAACTTCTCCAGAATTTCATGAGGAGGCCAGGATCTCAGTAAGATGTTTGGTGGTGTGTGTCCGTTGGGCTGTTTCATGAGTTGTCCTCTCATGGTTGGGATTCCTCTGGAAGGGAATTTTCACGCACTGTCCTCCCTGAAGCACTTGGAGTTATTGCTGGGCACAGTCTGTCCCTCACAATAATTAAATTGTGTTAACTTGGCTTGCACTTGGGGAGAAATGCTCGCAATTTTTGTGTCTTATGAGACAGACAGATTCCCCTTCCCATATTGAATTTCTTAGCTGAAAATTTCCAGTAATCCAGGTAAGAACAGAGTGTACCTGCAAGGCAACACACTTACCCAGGGTGCCTACTGCCCTGGCATTCATCCCACTACTCACCAAACATTCTGGGAAATGTTATACGGACATATAGAACAGGCTTTCTTGGTGCTTCAACTTTCTTCTATCGGCCATTCCACAGAGACATGCCAGGAGCCAGGACTTGGCAACCTGTCTGTCTGCCCTGATGACCTCTTCAAAGTGGGTTTCACAGCAGTCCCCCAGACAGAGTCCAACACCCCCAGCACCAAGGCCCTTTGGCAGAGACTGTGGGCACATTTCATTAAAGCAACACCAGATTTTGAAGTTCTGAAATGCTCTTCTGAGCCGGGGCAGAAATGAAAACAGGTAATGGCAACAGGGAGATCAGCAGCCACTGGACACCAGAAAAGACCTTTTGGGGCTGTGAAGATGCTCAGGGGGCTGAAGCACCTCCCCTGTGACGACAGGCTGAGAGAGTTGAGCTTGTTCAGCCTGGAAAAGGCTCCAGGGAGACCTTCTAGCAGCCTTCCTGTACTTGAAGGGGGCTACAGGGAAGTGGGGAGGGACTCTTGATCAGGGAGAGTTGTGATAGGACAAGGCGTAATGGTTTCAAACTGAAAAAGGGGAGAGTTAGATTAAATACTAGGAAGAAATTTTCTGGAAGTGTTCAAGGCCAGGTCGGATGGGGCTTTGAGCAGCCTGGTCTAGTGGAACATGACCCTGACCACGGCAGGGGGGTTGGAACTAGACAATCTTTAAGGTCCCTTCCCACTCAAACCACTCTATGCTTCTATGAACACAGGCATCCCCCAAATAGTGTCAGAACTGGGGACCACCAGGTCCCATCCAGATGTTTCAGAGGAGATTGATTAGATTAACACCCGAAAGAAAATATTTAATGTAATTCCCTGAACTTCACCATAATTAATTTTACTTCTGGACATTTATCTATGTCTGTGCCTGTGTAACCCTTTAGGACTCTTGCCAATTTCTTGGTCATAT